GTGTGAGATACCATCTTCATCATCTCTGTACCAACGAGGTTGATCTAAAAAAAAGAAGAGAGAAAAGAAGAAAAAAGGGTGAGAACCTTATAAAAAGGAATAGTAAATCATTAAAAAGGAATACCTTTAATGATGATTGTATGATGTCATTCATAAAAGTTAAAGAACGGTGGCTCTCAAGCTTGGCCTTCTCTGTTGGACCAATTAGGGGTTTCAACCACACGTCAGCTCCTCCTGATTTCCTCAGAAGGTTACTATCTGCAAGGACTTCGATGATAACCTGTCTCATGGCTCCACTTCTACTTGAGGAACCAACCTCAGTTTGTTGGACAGTTATGGGAGGAACTGTGGAAGAAGTCAAAATAGCTGGGGGAGGAGCAGTAGAAGGAGTCAAAATAGCTGGGGGAGAAGCAGCAACGGGAACAGCCTCGAAAGGCAAATAAGGTATTGTAGGAGAAGATAAAGGAAAAGAAGTAAGGGGCGCTTCATCAGAAATTGACTTCAAACTTTCACTACCAAACTCGCGGGTAAAAAGCTATTCAACAGAATCACGGGCGGCAGCGGGGGTATCATCATCGGGAATCACCAACGAGGCTTCAACAGGCTCGGTGTGAGGAGTAGAACGAGGGGGAGATGTTTCATCATCTGAAATAATTCGTCTCCTAGCTCGTGGCCTTTTTATCAAAGAACCCCCGTCTTGTTCTTCCTCCTCCTCAGAGTCTTGATCAATAGTAGCTTTCCTTTTCGATGAAGAGCTTAAAATTATTTCGTGGGCCATTTCCAAAGAAACTTGGGAAGCTACGACAGCCTCAGCAGTAATACCTCGCATGGCAAATCCTGATAAAAAGAAGGATTAAAATAAATTCTGGAAGAAGCGATAAGAAAAGTTATAAAAAAAAAGACTTTTACCGTGAGTTTTTAGTTTCCAACCAAATCGTTGAGAGAGAGTTTTCCAAGATTTACCCTCCATCGGGGCAGCATTTAACAACTTTCCTACCCTACCACGAAAATTGGGAATTTCATCGACAATTCCCATGGATGCTAAAAAAAGAAGAAGAAAAGAAGGAAATTAAAACGACAATCAACAGAACTGAGAAAAAGGTATATGAAGGTTATTAAAAAGAAAACTCACGTGCAAAATTTCACTTCTCAGGGAAGGGAACGTTTTCTTCACCCACTAAACCAACAGTGGGGGCAGCAACAAACCTGGCATACCAGCCACGGTCCTTATCGTCTTCTGGATTAACCAGAACTCTTTTGCTTCTTACTACTAAAGTAAAAACTCCTTGGCGAAAGAGTCTGGGAGAGTAAAGGTGAATTAAATGGGATAGAGTAAAAGGCACACCAGCCATGTTGGTTAAGTGTCTCAAACAAGCAACAGCCCTCCACAAAATAGGGCCAATTTGTCCTAAACAAACGTTGAAAAAATGACATAATTCGAGGATAACAGGGTCAATAGCAGGTTTAAAACCCAACGTGAAAGGATATGTATAAACAAAAGAAAACCCAATTAAATAAGAGGTAATTCTTTGGTTCGCATTTGGAACTATAATAGGGAAGTCATGGCTCCAATGGCAATCTTTACGAACTAAAGAAATCAGACCTTCAGTAATCTGAGTTGGGTAGATGTCAGCCCGATCTAATGAAGATAGTTGGTTTCTGAGAGATTCTCTATCATTATAAAAAGATATTTCAATGGGAACAATCTCATCTACAGTGGGTTCACGAAGGGTCTCAGTGGGTTCTTTACTTCTAGACGAAGGCCTTTGAGAAAGGGAGCCTCTAGTTCTAGAAGATGGACTGGAACTAGATGAAGGAAGAGAAGAACCACGTGTGGATAAAGACCCTAAATTACGAAGTCTACCTCCTCTTCTGCTCCTACTAGGGGCAAGAGGAAGGTTATCGACAATGGGGACTCTCCTAGGGTTAGGGTTTGATGAAGACATAATAGTACGAGGAAGAAGCTAACAAGAATTGAATATTCTGAGAACTTTATGTGAGAAAGACAAAGGTGAAAACTATAGTTATACTTAGAAGCAACCGTCAAAGGAAAAGGTGCAATGATGGAAAAGTCATAATGAGAACTGTCGTTTCGTAATTGGTGAAGCCGTAAAAAAGCCTTAAAAGACGTTGCAGAGTCGCAAAACCAATCAGAAGATGCCACGTGTAATAGGCATTAAATAGAAGTGACAAATGAAGTGTCGATTCCAGAAGAGAATTAATGGCTGCAAATATTCCCGCTTTAATAAAATCCACTTCCCAAATATTCAATTGATGAATAAATGGCAAGTGGGGGGACTATCTGTATTGGAAAAAATTGAGTTTATGTATATTGAAGTGATTGAAAGATGACATGTCATGACAGGTAGACTGGTCAAAGAATGATGATCAGCAAAGAGGCACGAGTTGCAACAGACACGAGCAGAGACTCGAGCAAAGACACGAGCAGAGACACGACCAGAGATTCAATCTCGGCGCCCGTACCTATTTAAGTTCAAAAGTTAAAGAGAATGAACCTGATAGCAAAAGAGAGTACGGGTACAGTATTTAATATGTATTAATTACTGGAAACGTTATAGAATCTTTATTGAATTACAATGATTATCATTTATAACGTAGCATTAAATACCTTTAATTGTCTATAATGGCCTTATTATGACAAAGGCAAAACGTATATCTTAGAAATAGCTATAAAAAGGAGAATACTGATCATTTGTAAGGACACACAAAAAAAGACTATTGAATATACTGATTTACTTCGCTTTCTATTCATCCTTTGTTCACATCCATTATTCTTATTTCTATTTGATTATCAGTAACCCGAGTTCTTCTAAAATAAGCTTTGACTGAAATTCTACTTTTTGGTTAAACAACTATTACCTTGGGTCCCTTTTTGACTTGTTTAGGACCACAAATTCCAAAAGTCTTCATTTTTTCTTAAATTCTGTGCCAGTCAAACAGATTCACATAAATTAAAACGGATGGAGTATTATATAGGAGTAGCCCAAAATCACTGAGCAATTGTTTGGTAACCGAGATTAGTATAAATGTGGGATTATATTTATTCAGTACTTAATTTTTGGTATTAGTTAAAATATTATAAATTTTATACCAAAATTTTGACATTAATTATGGATCTTTACACAAATAGCCGGCCACATTCGTTGTTTACTTTTTCTAGCCATATATATAATTTATACATCGATTACAGAATTATAAATCTATAATACATAAATTATGTATATATTGTATTTCCATCGGCTATTTTTAATTTAAGTGATTAGGCGGGGCGGCTATTTGAGTTAATTCTTCATCAATTAATAATATTATCCCATATAGGATAATTCCAGAATATTTTTGTTCCGAACCAAACAACCCCTCGAAATTCTGAAAAGGCAATGACTAGAACCTTATGGAAAATAGTAACTTGAGTAAAAAGAGTTCAAGTAAACAGCAGTGGCCTCGAATTGAATCAGCACAGTGTAACTTGAACTGTAGTCTTTTGTTTATTGAACCGTTTCCTGGAAAATGAGACAAAGACTTTCTTCCTCCCTCTCTGCCCCCTTAAAGCAGGGGCGGAGAGAGCCTACTTTACGTGGGTTTGGCTGAATCCAGTCATTTTTACTTAGATATTGTATATATAAAAAATATTTAATTTCGAAACCAGTAATAAAGACGAGTTATGAATCCATACAAAATTCAGAACTCATAAACTTTAAATTTTGAATCCACTTCTATTTTAAAGTACTTTTGGATGGTTTGGTTGATTTTATTGAATGATTAACTCCAACATAATTTATGATACAATGTTTTGTTAGCCGCATAAAAATAGTACATTGTTTGGTCGGCGGTATTAAATAATACCATATTACGTTATGCAAGAATATTTGTATCAATTTGTATGAGATAAAATGCGGATAAATTATTTAAAGACAAAAAAATACCCTTTTAAGGTAAACAATTCTTGTATTACAATTTCTTGATTATTTCACATAACAATTCCTTCATTATTAATCATTCATTATTAATCTTCGCATGACTAATATGTGAACCAAACGACTCCTTAGTTAAAAAATGATTTTAAAAGTGGTTAGTACGCTACATGTACGTTAGTAGGGGCTGGGGTTTTGTCCTCTTCTTGTCAGTGAGTTGTAGTTTCCGTGCCTAAACAACACGAGCAATGAGTGAAGCCATGAGATAAAGAGACACACACTGCGGTTTGGACGGTTGAGCTACGGACAAATGCAGGGTAAATCACGTGATTATAGGCTAGCCAGATGCCAGAAGCTCAGTTGAGCATCTCACCAACGCAAAGATAAAAAGATAAAATAATGACTAAATGTTAGATCAATAAGAAATGATCGGATACAAATCAAGATTTGCCCAATGTAAATAGATCTTAGTCATAAACCAAATTCACTAGTAAATTGGAAAATGCACTTATTAGTCCTCACAGAAAACAACTTAGATTGGTTAGAAGCTTTTACAAAATATTTAATGGGTGTTTGGACATAAGAATTGTAAATTTCTGTACAAAAGTATAACAACAACAACAACAACAACATACCAGTGTGGGGTCTGGGAAGGGTAGAGTATACGCAGACCTTACTCCTACCTTTGGTAAGGCAGAGAGGTTGTTACCGGTAGACCCTCGGTAGGACGGGGAGAGGGGAAAGACAATAGCAAACAAACTGATCTAACAACTGAAGCAGAAATACAAAACTAGCAATAGGCCATGCAATCATAAGCAATGCAATCACGAAACCAAGACACAATCTCGTACAAAAGAGTAAAAAAAACAAAAAAAAAAAAATTTAAAATTTTCATGGCCAAACACCGTTCCGAAAAGAAAAAAAATCCCAAAAAAGAAGTGACTTTTTGTGGCAAACGGGCCCTTAACTTTTCTCTTTTTTTTTTTTTGAATTTTATAAATTTGAAATATTAATATTGCATTGATGAGAATTTAAGTGTACTGACATTAGGACAGCTGCAACTTTGAAGTGAAGTAACAGAAAGCGCAGTTACAGTGGGGCAACAGTCCAAAATTATGCATGTTTCTGGCTCTTTGGAGCGTTTTCTAATAATAATGCTACCAAGTAATGATTTCAAAGAGCATATTTGTTTTTCTGCATAAACAAGTATTCTGCAAAATCTACTCTCCAAATATTCACTAGTATATACTATATTTAAAAAGTTTTCAAATCTTCTATTAGTAGTTCGTATAAATCCCTCACTGGTTCCCAATAATACTAGCACTGATCTGTGAGACTCTGACCATCTTAACTACTACCCTCTGATTAAAGATCCGAAGAGAAAAGATAGAATATGGTATCTGAAGGAAATGCAGATAGAAAATGGAGGTATTTTCTTTGATCTTACCAACACCTTCTTCTTTGATTGTGTTTGTCTAAATTTTCTTACTGTTTCTGTTTTCTTGACACATTTTATGACATGGGTGCTTTCCTTTTCTAGTGAGAAGAAAACGGAAAAAGAAGATGGTTTGAGGACAGTGGAATGTCTAAGAGGAAGATTACTTGCAGAGAGGGTTGCTTCAAGAAAAGCAAAAGAGGATACTGAGCTTATTGGAAACAAGGTTTATTTTTCTTTTCCATCTCTGCTTGTTTTTGAATGAATATGCTATCAAATGTTTTCTTATTACTATTAGATTCAGTGGCGGCGGAGTCAGAATTTCACTAAGGAGCTCAAAAAAGAAAAAAAAATTAAAAAGTGGGAATTAAACTAGTGAGCTCACAAAGGTTTTAAACTCCCTTACCCAATGAGCTATGCTTTTAGGCTCTATCAAGGGGATTCAAAATATAATATATAGAGGTAGAAAATAGTTTTTGCCTTATATATACAGTGTAATTTTCGGCGAACCCCCTTCCGTTCCCCTAAATCCGCCCTGATTAGATTGGGTTAGTTATAAGGGAATTGTGCTGTTTCCCATTTTACTAAAGTTCCCAACTTTTTTTTCCACTAGAAGTGTAACTCCTTAAATCTTTGAAATTTCAGTTGACTAAGCTGGAGAATAAGTTGAGAGAAGAGACTAGATCAAGAAACAAAGCTGAGAAGAAGCTCAATTTTGTTATGAAGAAGCTCGAGTCATTGAATATATCTTATGTTTCAGATGAATCAGAGCACTCTAGCTTGTTTGAGAGAAGTGAAATTTCATCTGTAACATCCACAAGTGTTAGCAGCACCAAACTCTCTGAAGATAAAGAGCAAAATTCTCAATTTACAGGTTCTATGGTCAGTGAGTTTGTAGAGTCAATTGGTAGTAGAAAATGTAGCTCTGAATATCTTGAGGATCATTCTCCAGAGCTCATATCCCAAAAATGTGAGAAACAGGAGCCAATTGAGAAGGAGATATCTCAAGAAAACTCAATCAACTTAGAGCAAAATGTCACACAAATGGCTATTTTTAGCAAAGAAAATGACAGTCATTCTAAGGGTGAACAAGATCTTGGAAAATCAAGAGAGCTTCAAATCTCAAATTCAGATGTCAATAGGTATTTAAACACAATATTGAAAATCTTACACAAAAGAAATTACAATTTAAATATGTTCAGTTCTTGGAAGGGGAGCTTTGGAGCAACTGCAAAATTATCTTAGTGTGACCTATAGATTATGGATTCGAGCCGTGGAAGCAACCACTAATGCTTGCATTAGGGTAGGCTGTCTACGTCACATTCCTTGAGGTGCGACTCTTCCCCGCATGAATCACGGGATACCTTGTGCACCAAGCTGCCCCTTTAAATATGTTCAGTTCTTTATTACTCTACTATGGAATATCACCAAAGCTGGTCTAACATTTAATCTGTTATTGTTCTAGCTCAAAATCTTCACTCAAAGAGCAACGGAAAATTGGAGAAGATGAAACAGATCAGCAAGAGGAGAACGTTGATAACTCTTTGGCATTAGTTCCTATAGATTTGCCAAAGCCAAAGGAAACCATTGATCCAGTTGTTCTTGACACTACTGTGAGAGAAGTTCTTGATGCACTAAGGCATGCTAAAGAGAAACTTCAAACTCAGATGGAGAGAAGAAGTATGATTAAAGTTGGCTAATTTATATGACAGTTCATTTATGGCTTAATTAGTAGATGCCTAGTTGACATTAGAATTCTAATTATGCCCCATTTTACCACATTGGAGTAACATTCTACTTGTTAAGCATGCATGTATGTTAATCAAGATTTGAGGTGGTTGAGGTTTATTGTAGAGATGGATATATAGTACTATAGATAACGAAGCATCAAGCCTGATGATATCATATTATGTATGGTTAACAGTCCTGTATCACTCTTCGTCGAAAAACTATATTGTGTATGGATAAAATATTACTTTATTGATAAAAAAAAATAGACTATGAACACTCTTTCATAACCCACTAATAAAGGGGGTTCAAAGTTTCAACACTTTTATTGAATTTTCTGACTTCACCATTATGTTCGAGCAACGTGAGGTTCATTGCTGCCATGTAATATTCTTGCAATAAAGGACATAATTTGGTGATGAACTTTCTATCCCAATTGAAAGGTCAAGGCTCTGTCCTACTGGTGAAAATATTAAAGTAATAATTTGTCATATTTGATTTATACGTAAAAAGAATTATTGAAAAAATATGTATTTGTCACGACCCTAAAAATCCCTCCGAAGGAGTCGTGATGGCACCTAGTTTCTAAACTAGGTAAGCCTAACATTAACTGAAATAACCTTGACATTTACTAACTTCAAATTAAGTAACTCTGAACAAATCACAATTTCCCAAAACCGGTGGTACAAGTTATCAGCCTTTCTAAGAGTAGTTATACAAAAATAAATACAACATTGTTCCAGAACGAGAAGGAAACAATGGAATGTAAGTACAAACGAAGGTGACTCCGGGGCTTGCGAACGCAGCAGCAGGTTACCTTGAGTCTCCACCGCGACTATCCGCGTAGCTACTATCGATCAATACCTGGATCTGTACCCAAAAAATATACAGAAGTGTAGTATGAGCACACCACGGCGGTGCCCAGTAAGTATCAAGACTAACCTCGGCGGGGTAGTGACGAGGAACAGTCAAGACACCTACTCGTCAGACAGATTAAACAGGATATGATAACAAATATCAAGATAAAGGTAACGAAATAATATCAACAGTAGGGATAGATCAATCTACAAACAGTCGAAATAATAAATAAAGGAAACTCGGATGGAAACGAAAGATAACCAAATAAATCAACACAAACATAGCTGGAACACAGAGAAGTAGAATGAACTCAAGTAAGGAAGACAGTGTCAACTCGATCAATCATATCGTTTCTGGTGCACAACCCCAGCCATCTCAGAACTCGATGTCTCAATTCATAACCTCAACTTCCAAACCTTTAGCACACCCGGCACCTTGTGCCCACATATTTTATCTCACTTAGTACAACAACGTTCTCATGTTACTCAGTACATAGGACCCATAACTAATGCAATTAAGATGTTCCAGGAGTCTCATTACATAACATAAAGTAGAGTACAGCTTCTAAACCAAATAGGAACTCAGCAAGAAAAGATGAAGTTATTTTAGAAATTATTTGAATAAAGAAAGTACCATTTTAATTTAAAATACAACATCGAATGAATTATTACCTTTAACATGGGATTTAATAAATTAACTTAGTAGAAATTCCTTTTTAAGTAAAATACAACCTCAGACGGTTTTAGGGAATTTAATTGAGAAACTAATTGAATTAAAAAAAATATAACAATTATTGAAATTTGAAGTATTGATATACATATATATAAATACGGTGAGGTATTGAAAACACTATGGGTTCCAATACAAAGCAGTAAAGGAATCTAAACAGTTAAAACACTTGAATTGACAACAACAAATAAACACAGCAAACAGAAAGTGCACGACATCACCCTTCGTGCTTTAACTCTCAATCCTCACCATGCAATCACTATAAATGTAAATGTGCACGGCATCACCCTTCGTGCTTTATCACTCTTCCTCACCATATGAATAATATAAATGTGCACGGCATCACCCTTCGTGCTTTATCTCTCTTCCTCACCATATGCATCAATATAAATGTAAATGTGCACGGAATCACCCTTCATGCTTTCTCTCTCTTCCTCACCATATGCATCAATATAAATGTAAATGTGCACGGCATCACCCTTCGTGCTTTATCACTCTTTCCTCACCCAAACAGTAGATACAACAACATCGCGGCAAGGGAATCAACAATTGAAACAAATACACCCGGCAAAAGAATCAACAATAGAAACAAATATATCCCCGCAAGGGAATCAACAATAGAAACAGATACACCCGGCAAGGGAATCAACAATAGAAACAAATACATCCCGGCAAGGGAATCAGCTATAACCGATCTCGTTCGAATAGTTAACTTCACAAAATAAATCCCAACTTGAGACAATACTCAACAACGGTCAAACACTAAGGAAATACCATAAGCCTGGTCCAACATGAATACTCATCAATTTAAGCATAAATAGTAAGTAACAAGAATCACAACAGTCACAGTATAAGACTCACGGAATAACCAAGGAGCGCAATAACCTTAACAAAACAACAAGACATAACAAGCACGTGATAACTACACCGGCAACCACGACAATTTGGACACATAGCATATATACACGGGGTCATAGAGGAATTCACAATTAAGAGATAACGAAACAATAAAGAGAACAACCATTTCAATTAAGGCAAATAAGGACCAGGTAACAAGTAAGAGTTAGAGGCAAGCTAACAACATCGTATGGAGCACATAGAGGTAAATTAAGCAATTAAGAAACTCAATCATAACAGAATACTTCCCACATAATGAACATAAGGACCTGAGGACCCTAAAGGCAAATTTCCCACAAGTAAGTCCGAGCACACACTCGTCACCTCGCGTGCACGGACTACAAATAGCATAGAAGACTAAACTCCTAAGGGGAAGTCCCCCACACAAGGTTATGCAAGATACTTACCTCAATCCGGACAATGCAATACTCAATTTAGCTTTTCCTTTACCAATTCATTAACGCTCGGCTCAATCTAGCCAAAAACGACTTGAATACATCAAACAATGCAAGAGAAAACAATTCCAATGAACAAACTTATGACTCTTATACAATTTGCAAAAAGTCAACAAAAGTCAACTCCCCGGGCCCGCACCTCGGAACCCGACAAAATTACAAAAATCAAACACCCATTCTGCTACGAGTTCACCCATACAAAAATTATCTAATTCTGATACCATTTGGTCATTCAAATCATCATTTTACATTTTTGAAAGATTTCACAATTTTCCCCAAATTTTCCTTTAGATTCTCATGAGTTTGATGTTAAAACTAAGATATAATCACAAAATATAATTGGAAATTGATTAGAGACACTTACCCAATGATTTGGTATGAAAATCTTCTCTCAAAATCGCCCACTCTCGGAGTTAGGGTTCAAAAATATGAAAAATGAGCAAAAGCTCGGAATATTCAGCTTTTAGCAGGCTGCAGATGTCGCATTTACGACACTGGCTTCGCAAATGCGAAGAAATCTTCACAAATGTGAAGCCTGAAATTCCCCTGACAGCATCGCAACTGCGATGATAGTTCTCGCAAATGCGAAGGGCCCTCGCAAAAGTGGCCAAAAACATCGCAAATGCGATCCTACCCTGCCCAGACCATTCCTCGCATTTGCGAGACTGGCTTCGAAAATGCGAAGCCTGCCAGTCCCAGCCTCTTTCGTAAATGCGACACAATGTCCGCAAAAGCGGTGGTCACAATTGCGACCCTTTGCTCGCAAATGCAAGATCAGACAACAGAAAACCAGATTTTTCTTCCAAACACTCCGAAACGCTTCCAGAACTCATCCGAGCCCTCGGGGCTCCAAACCAACCACCAACACAAGTCTGAATACATAACACAAACTCGCTTGCGCGATCAGAACATCAAAATAACTTCTAGAACCACGAATCGAATGCCAAAATGCATAAAAATTGCTATGAACTTCAAGAACTTCTAGAATTGCAACCAAGCGTCCGAACCATATCAAATCAACCCTCCAAACGACACCAAATTTTGCAGGCAAGTCCAAAATGACATAACGGAGTTGTTCCAACTTTCGAAATCGCATTCCGACCTCGATAACACAAAAGTCAACTATGGGTCAAACCTCTGCATTTTCCAAACTTCAACTTTTCCAACTTTCAAATGCCTCAAATTACCCTACGGGCCTCCAAATCCAAATCTGAACGCACGTCTAAGTCCAATATCATCATATGAAGCTACTGAGATCATCCAAAACTCATTCCGGAGTCGTTTACTCAAAAGTCAAATTCCGGTCAAATTCTTATCGCCTAAGCTTCCAAAACTAGATTCCTTCTGCCAATTCGACTCTGATTCATCAGGAAACAGATTTCTAGCCATGCACGCAAGTCGATATACATAATATGAAGCTACTCGTGACCTCATACTGCTGAACCGGACGAAATTGCTCAAAACGACTAGTCGGGTCGTTACATCCTCCTCCACTTAAATATACGTTCGTCCTCGAACGTTCCCCGGAGTCATTCCAAAGCCATCGAACTACTGCATTAGCTCACCATACATACACCGCGGGTGATTCCTCCATCACCCAAACACATGAAGGACTGTCAATGCAACTTAACTGATGATCTCACCTCACCCTTAGTCCATAACCTTGGGACAGAACCCAAACCTCATCATCTGAAATTCATCATAGGACCCGAATTCCACATCATCACACTGCATGAACCTGAACGAGCTGAATCGAGCCAAAATTCCAATCCAGAATACAATCACATGTTGTTCCACACAACTCAAATGCCCGAAGCAATAACCTCTGACCACCATAGCTGTTCAAATAACATCCTAGGTGCCGGCAATACACTTCTCATTGATTATAACCCTGTTCTGGACCTCCACAACACTGCCCATGATAAAGAAACATGCGGAAACTCATGCCAGCCCATGAAGTCAACAGGTCAAGAAGCTTCCTCGCTCGCCAAGCCATTACCCAAATCTTAGCAGAATTACCCACATAATTCCAAACACTCCTCACCCCAAATACCATAGTACTAATCTCAGGTCTAAGAACCTCATCTCAGCCAATACAAGCAATCCAACTGATAACTCGTCACGGAACCACATGAATTCTCACACCACACAGCTCGTACACTAAACCAGCAATAACGCAATTACGTAACACAAATAAAGAGAAGCAAAGTAGAAGAATTATCTAACAAGTGTAACATGTTCAACAACAAAAATATAGTTTTCATCAAATCGTTCCACAGAGGAAGAACAGAACACCAAATAAACACAAGAAAAGGGTATCCCGCATAAC